TCAAAGTTGCATGCCACCTCACATACAATCCCTTTTGCCGACAATCATCAACCCGTTCTCTTTTGGATACATGTGAGGGAATGTTAAGCATCAGTAAGATTTAGCTTATTTAAGCAGGACCCATGTGAAGACCTTACGAAAAAGTTATGTTGGCTTAATAGCAGTTACAAACAATACAAATACTTTTCATGATTACACAGACACCAGTTGGCTTAATAAGCAAAATCAAATTGCACTGATAAAAGAGCTTGGATCTGGAGGGACTGAGACTTCAACAGCTCCTTCCAACATCTGAGTGATTTTCTTCATGGTTGGCCTCAAAGCCGGGTCTTCCTGGATGCACCACAATGCCGTCGTCACAAATCTTCTCACCCTTCTCATGTCACTTGATGCCTCCTCGTCACTCTCCACCAGCACAATTATGTTCCCATCGTGGTAGCAGTCATACACCCAGTCGACCAGCACAACTTGAGCTTCCGTTTCCGCTTCCAGCTCGTAGTTCTTTCTACAGCAGATGAGCTCTAGCAACAAAATGCCGAAGCTGTAAACGTCTACTTTGCCAGAAATAGGCATATTCCGGAACCATTCTGGCGCTAAATAACCTCTGGTTCCTCTAACTCCGGTGGTGGTTCGTGTTTGGTTGGCCATCAAGAGCTTAGCTAACCCGAAGTCTGATATTTTTGCAGCGAGAGTGCCATCAAGAAGAATATTTTGCGGCTTGATGTCGCAGTGGATTATGTGCCTGGTGCAATCGTCATGCAAGTAAGTGAGCCCCCGCGCAACACCACAGGCAATTTCTACTCTTTTGTACCAGCTGGGCCTTGAAGAGCCAAATAGAAAATCGGCCAAACTGCCTTTGCTCATGAATTCATACACCAGCAGTCGGTGTTGACCCTCATTGCAGAATCCAAGCAACTGCACTAAGTTCTTGTGGTTAGTTTGGCCAATTGCACTCACTTCTCTTTCAAACTCCTTTTCGCTTTCTCCGGTCCTTGTCATCAACACTTTTACTGCCACAAAGTTCGTATCCACGGATCCCAGAACACCTTTGTACACTGTTCCAAAAGCACCCCTGCCTAGTTCTTCTTTGAATCCATCTGTTGCTTGTTGAAGCTCTTGATAAGCGAAAGTCTGCGTGCCTGTGGCTTGGTTGATCTGGACTAGTCGTGAAAACTTAGAATCCCTAGATCGGAAGCTTTTATATACTAAATAGCCAATGACGAGTAAAAGCAAGTTCAAAAACACGGAACTACTCAACAGCACTGATCCAATGATCACCAGAGTCGAGTTCTTGTTCTTCTTCTGGCCGTTTCCTGTAGATGTCGAAGTAAAGTTATCTTTCCTGACCTTTATCAGAGCTTTTCCACCCTCACTAGCATCCTTCCTACCATTAAGAAGAGGGATCTTCTTTTTCCAGCAACTTCCGCCTTTGAAAACAGCGACTGCGCAAAAACAATCAGCCAAGCAAGCCTCTCGGCACTGGTCCTCGGTTTGTTGCACGATAACCTCGTAGTCAAGCTGCGGCCAGTCTGTATTGAGCATGTCACGCAAAGCGAACTGGTCTTTTTCAGGCCTACTTCCGTCACAACTCTGTGATACGAAGTCCTGTCTACATCCATTCATCTCGTTCGTCGAATCTAACAGAGTATATCCAGGTGGGCACTGGCATCGGGACCTCTGAATCTTGTCGTCTCCAAGAGTGCAGTAGCTGTTGAAGCCACAAGCTCCAGTACCACTATCTCGCTCGATGCTCGTGCATATATTTGAAGGGATCGGGGAAGAGACCATCGACCAGCCCATTCCCCAGCGAGAACTTGAATTTGCCGTCTTAGGGTGGACATATTGCCTGAAGACCCCATCGTATTCAAGGATCGCCCTTTGGTAAAATTCGCTGGTTGGAACTGTGTCTGAGGTGACGAGATTGAGTACTGTTCCAGTCCTATTCGTGAGGTAGACCTGACCACTTTGATTGAATATCAACCGGAAGCCAATACCTGGGGTGCTGGTGGTGCCGGTGGCCCAGTATGCATCTGAGCTGAGCCGCGGGTTAGGAGTGGCATAGAGCACGAGATTTCCGTCGGTTTGCAGTATCAAGTGGAATCTCCCAGCGGAGTAATTCATTTCGGAATAGCGAGCATTAACTATACTCCCTTGACCTAACTGTTGCGTAGGCAGTATAGTATCGGTCGGTTGGCTGAACGTATCCCACAAGTTGATGTGGTTCGTGCTCGCTAGGATGAAGTTCCCCGTGTTGAGCATGGCCGCATATGCTACTCCGGTGCCAGTCAGTCTAGAAGACCACAGCTCTCTTCCTTTTGGGTCAGCAAGCACCAGTCCGTTGTCGGCGGTCAACCGGACTGTCGAACCTTCGGGTGCTAGAGTACCGCCATTCGCCGACCAGACTATGGTTTTGTCCTCTATTTTCTCGAACCATATAGCCAATAAATGAGCTCCTCGTCCCATTTCCCGGAACCCGAAGGCGAACTCGCCCGACGGCGAAAGCCAGGAAGAGTTCCTGTCATTCGCTGTTAACGAGGAGCCCAAGGTCAAGTTGCCAGAGGTCTGAGCTTCGGCGAAAAGTGGAAGTGGAACAATTATTAGAAGGATTCCTAACATCATTGAAGCCATGTTAGATGAAACTTGCGTGCTCCTTGAGTTGAGCTACTTCAGCCTTATGAATGAAACCAGCATTCTTTATAGATCTTCCACTTTCTATGCTACCCGAGTCTCTCCCACGGCTAGTTTGAACCAAATCTGTGGACAGACTTTGCCCCTGTCAACACGTATATCTAGAATAATCTTATATTACTATTACTTGTTTTTGTTTCTTTTTTCTTAAAGTATCTCATTAGTTCTATTAATATATTCAGCAAAGCTTACAAAAAATTATCTTATAATAGTATCATTGATACTAAATTTTTCTGATAATAATATCTTTGTAAATTTATTTTTCTTCATTTTTTTATTTTTCCCTTTTTCTTTAGAGAAATCAATGGTGAAAGAAAACTTGTCAAATTTAGAATAAGGCAAGTATGCTCCACAAGCTTGCCGGGACCCAGAAATTTTCCAAGGGACACGCAACTCTGGAAGACTTTGACCAAACGTCGTACACGTTAAGTTGGACATTTTATGAGATGAAAGTGATGGAGAAAAAAGGCAGGGCCCACAGTTGATTCAATCCCTATGAATTCAAACCGATTACGAGTTGCTTCGGGGAAATTGACTGTTTCAATAGTAATCGCCGATATGCTCAAACGTACGTGGAAATTCGCTTTTGTAGTCCCACGTCTAGCATGCGCTCAATGGACGTGGTCCATGGTGCTGTGGTGATTCAATGCTTAGAAAACGACGGGTCTTGTGCAACTTGGAAAGGAGTGGCTACAACAATGATGAATATACATAACTCGGCGGATAATCTACAAAAAATTGATACTGGAGTTACGGGTTTTGAATCCGATATATTTGGTTAAATGGATTTCGTAGAGACATAAAGATATCATGCTCATGGACTTAACGACATCATGCAATACTAAAAGCAATTTGGTTTACACATAATTAATGTGATCAGTACACAAATACGGAGTGTTCCCGTTTATAAATTTTCTCCTCAATAAGAGGAAACTGTCAACAGTATTCTGCACCGTCAATAGTCCCTTTGCATCTCTAGCATCTCGGTCACACTAGAAGTATTCCTGCACTGCCGTGATAATGGCAGCCAAAACTTCCTGTTCATACATTTGGTCCCCAAATGAATCTCAATTTGCAAGGCAAAGGGCTAATTTTCCAGGGTGTGTAGGGTTCAATCCGGGCATGACCTGATAATAAGTACTTCTGCTGAGTTTCATCCTACTAAATCTCCCCCGAGTTGCAATTTTCCCGGATAATCGACGTGTACGCAAGGATAGATCCTTTTTATAAATAATTACATGAGGGGGAACTTTTTGCAGTTTTCTGCATAAAATGCTGTACATTGTTCTCTGCATCATTAGAAAATTGAGCCACACGCTCTTAAATTGTTGCAAGCAGACTTTTCCAAAGTCAAACAACCAAAAGACGAAGACCATGACAGAAACATCGTTCGTTCTATCGATTGAGAATGACACGAAAATGATAGCGAACGAGCTTGCAGACGCCAATACGCCATAGCCAATTAAGACAAATATGAATTCGAACCCATTAAGCTTCTGGTGCAGATCAATTGCTAGATTTGGATCTTCGGGGTCTTTCCATCGTCTCATCTCGGTATATTTTCGAGTTCCGTACTGTTTGGACTTGTTATGGAATGGCTTTAACTGAAGCTCACTGCATTGTTTATACGAGATCTCCAAGGATCACTAGGAAAGGAATACGTATGCTTAGAAAATTGTCTGCCCTGTGTCGCTTCAAGCAATTTCTCGACAGATGAATCCAGAAGAAAGTTCATTTGATTATACTCCCAACTACTTGATTCGCGGACTGTGATTTCTTTGGTCTAGAAGAAGTTGGTTGCCAAAAGGAAGTGAGTGTCCCTTCTGTATAAATAAAGCTGCAGCAGAACTGTTGAAATTGGGATTCCAGGTTACCGATCCATGACCTGAGGATCGGCAAGTTTCATATGGTTTTCATCATCTAATTTAGCAAATAAGATCTGTTTTGCTTGGATCAGGTTAAAATACTCTTCTACCGTGTCAAATGCAATTTTGATAAAGCAATATGTCAATGAAAATGCTTTAAAGGAGCCACGTTAGTTTTTCCCGTGACATACAGGGATATGATCCACGTAGAATTCCTAAGAGAACAACACTATGATGCCCGTGACTTTAAATTTATTAGTGACTGCTTTTGCATCATTTGATATAGCTACTTGATCTCTCAACAATTTAAATCTCTCTTCAAAGTTGCATGTGGCCTCGCATGCAATCCCGTTTGCCAACAATCGTGTCAACCCATTCTCTCTTGAATACACGTGAGGGAATGTTAAAGCTTCAGTAAGATTTAGCTTATTTAAGCAGGATCCATGCGAAGACATTATAAAAAAGTTTATTCTGGCTTAATAGCAGTCACAGACAATACTAATACTTTTCATAATTACACAGGCACCAGTTGTCCTAACAAGCAAAATCATATTCAACTAATAAAAGAGCTTGGAACTGGGGGGACTGGGACTTCAACAGCTCCTTCCAACATCTGAGTGATTTTCTTCATGGTTGGCCTCAAAGCTGGGTCTCCCTGGATGCACCACAATGCCATCATCACAAATCTTCTCACCCTTCTCATGTCACTTGATGCCTCCTCGTTACTCTCCACCAGCACAATTATGTTCACGTCATGGTAGCAATCATACACCCAGTCGACCAGCACAACTTGAGCTTCAGTTTCCACTTCCGGCTTGTAGTTCTTTCTACAGCAGATGAGCTCTAGCAACAAAATGCCGAAGCTGTAAACGTCTACTTTACCAGAAATAGGCATATTCCTGAACCATTCTGGCACTAAATAACCTCTCGTTCCTCTGACTCCGGTGGTGGTTCGTGTTTGGTTGGCCATCAAGAGCTTAGCCAACCCGAAGTATGATATTTTTGCGGCGAGAGTGCTATCAAGAAGAATATTTTGCGGCTTGATGTCGCAGTGGATTATATGCCTGGTGCAATCATCATGCAAGTAAGAGAGCCCCCACGCAACACCACAGGCAATTTCTACTCTTTTGTACCAGCTGGGCCTTGAAGCGCCAAATAGAAAATCTGCCAAACTGCCGTTGCTCATGAATTCATACACCAGTAGTCGGTGTTGACCTTCATTGCAGAATCCAAGCAACTGCACTAAGTTCGTGTGGTTTGTTTGGGCAATTGCACTGACTTCTCTTTCGAACTCCTTTTCGCTTTCTCCAGTCCTCATCTCCAACACTTTTACCGCCACAAAGTTTGTTTCCTTGGATCCGAGAACACCTTTGTACACTGTTCCAAAAGCACCCCTACCCAGTTCTTCTTTGAATCCATCTGTTGCTTGTTGAAGCTCCTGATAAGTGAAAGTCTGTGTGCCTGTGGCTTTGTTGATCTGGACTGGTCGTGACAACTTAGAGTCCCTAGATCGGAAGCTTCTATAAATTAAATAGGTAATGAGGAGTAAAAGCAAGTTCACAAAGACAGAGCTACTCAACAGCACTGATCCGATGATCATCAGAGTCGTATTCGTGTTTTTCTATTGGCCATTTGCTGTACATTTTGAAGTCGTGTTATGTATCCTGACCTTGATCAAAGCTTTCCCAACCTCCTCAGGATCCATCCTTCCATTTGAAAGAGGGATCTTCTTTTTCCAGCAAACTCCGTTGCTGAAAATGGCGACTGCGCAAAAACAATCAGCCAAGCAAGCCTGTCCGCACCAGTCCTCCATTTGTGCCGCGCTATGCTCGTAATCAGGCTGTGGCCAGTTTCTATTGAGCAATTCGTGCAAAGCGAACTGGTCTGTTTCAGGCCTACTTCGTTACAACTCTGTGGTACGAAGTCCTGTCCACATTCATTCATCGCATTCATTGAATCTTACGGAGTATATCCAGGTGGGCATTGGCATCGGGGCCTCTGATCGTCTCCAAGAGTACAGTAGCTTTTGGTCGGCAAGCACCAGTCCGTTGTCGGCGGTCAACTGGACTGTCGAACCTTTGGGTGCTAGATTACCGCCATTTGCCGACCAGACTATGGTTCTGTCCTCTATTTTCTCGAACCATATAGCCAACAAATGAGCTCCTCTTCCCATTCTCCGGAACCCAAAGGCGAACTCGCCCGACGGCGAAAGCCAGGAAGAGTTCCTGTCATTCGCTTTTAACGAGATGCCCAATGTCAAGTTGCCAGAGGTCTGAGCTTCGGCGGAAAGTGGAAGTGGAACAAGTAGTAGAAGGATTCCGTGTCACGCCCCGAACCCTACGAAGCGCGAGCATCCCACCTTAGGTCGATTATGATGCGACGTTTCAGGAAGCGTCGCCGACCCACGTTCAGAATAGGCAGAGATCAAACACATGCGGAAGCAATACATAACAAACCCTGACTAATATAAAATACGAGCCAAGGATAGCTAAGCAATAAACAACGATCAATGCAGAAAATATATACATACTTATATTACTATTTTAAAACTCTTTTTACAGTGTTCACTACAACCAAAACGGAAACACCAACAGCTGGGAATAACCAAATAGCCACTTCTCCGTTCTGCTCCGTCCCCACCGGGGTGTATGCTCGACGACCGCTGGATAAAATGCGGTATTCCAAAAAGAGGTGGTGACCTCGGCATCCTACTGCTGGGGGTCTGAAAAGTTTCGGTTTACACAACCGTGAGACGAATCTCAGTAAGTTCAACCCCTAAACCTAGCCTAGGCTAGCATGCAATCTCCTGACCGGAAACAAATACTTAAAACAATAACACAACAACAATCGAATAGCTCTCTGACCCTGCAGGTTAGACAGTTCAATATATAATAATCACGACACATACGTGGCACACCTAGTCACACGTACGCCAATCACATGCTCATGCACCGAGTCTCACACACTCGCATGCCAGTCCACGCATGTTCATGCATGCAAATGTCGTCGACATGTCACGTTCATTTCCCGGCCCCACTGGCCCACCCTGGCACACTGGCAATCGCCCAATTTATTATTCATTACGACTCGAGTCGACAATATTCACGGCCCGGTGCATCTAGCCTGCTTCAAAGTGCATGAGGCGCAGCAACCGATCTGGCCCAGTGTCTCTAGCCTGCTTCAAAGTGCATGAGGCGCAACACTGATCTCCTTACGAACCAAAGCCTGCTTCAAAGTGCATGAGGATGGTCGTCTTCCGGACGTACCGGGCATCGTCCTGCTTCAAAGTGCATGAGGACGGCATCGACCCGAAGGCCCTTAGGTGATCACACAACCCATTATTATCTGAACCCCGCGTAACACGCATCAGGATATTTTAGGTGATCACATGCTCATGACAGGCACACAATCTCACACAATTTCATCACAAGCCTCATTCTCGGCATTCATAATGCGTGCCATGAAATGCAACATGAGCATCCACATAACATAGGCACAGGCACACAGTTCAATCAAAGTCATTCCACAGTGCCTAATTCACAAGTCACGTGCTTACTTGACCTATTAATACCATGCGGGCAATTCCAAATACACAATTCAAGCCATCAATTGGCCAATCACACTCCGCACGATTCAGCCACACAAGCACGCAATATAGCATTTCGCAATTAAACACAATTGATCCCCAATCAATCAAAAGCCAATCATTCTGGGTAATTCCGGCCATTCAGCTAATAATTCTTGCTGTCCATTATAATCCGGTACATTCCTCAAAAACATGGACAGCCGCTATTTCCTCAATCCGGGCCCAATAATTGTCCATAACAATCCCACTAAATTCCTCGGATTTTATTTCCACTAATCAGTCCTCAATCCAGTCTGAAATACACACTGATACTATCTAAGCCAGTCCAAAATGTACCGATAATACCTAAACCAGTCCAGAAAAACGCACTAACAGTCCTAATCCGGGTTTAGAAATTTTACTCACTTAATCCGAGGTCACGACGACGGGGAACGGCGGCCGATCACTGGTGAACAGTGAAACCGGCGGCGGAATTCCCAGCGACGCGTGAACAGTGACCCGTACGGACGGGGGATGAACAGTAACTTCCGTACGGACTGCTACAGTAACTCCGTACGGACAGGTACGCCCCGGCGTCGTACGGCGAGGCTGGACAGCTGGGTGGTGACAGAACAGTGATCCGAGCTCCGGCGAAGCTCCGGCGGCCCTTTTTGCCGGACGGGAAAGAGAAAAAGAGGGAGAAAGAGAGAGAAAGGGAGAGAGAAAGGGTCGGCCAGGGCAAGGCTGAGGCTGAGGGGGCTGAGGTGGTCCACGGCGGGGCACGGTAGTCGGCGGCGGTGCTCCGGTGGCCGGCGACGAGCTCCGGCGAGCCAAACAAGAGAGGAAAAGTGAGAAAAATTGGGGAGAAAACTGAAGAGGGGCTGCTGGGGGTGTTCTGGCCGTGAGTGAGGGTGAGAGGAGAGAGAGAGAGAGAGAGAGAGAGAGAGAGAGAGAGAGAGAGAGAGAGAGAGAGAGAGAGAGAGAGAGTCTTATCTGGTCAAACATGGCAGCCTAGGGGCGACACGTGTCGCAAATCCGACGGTTTTGACCAAAATACCCCTAATCTAACGGTTCTAATTTAATCTTATCCAAAAATGCGGGGCAAAAGGGTCAATAGGGCCAATAATTGAGCTGATAACCCTCCATAAATATCCTGAAATTTTTCCAAAATAATTCGGAACTGAAAACGGCCCAGGGGCAAAACCGTCATTTTTCCGGTCCTGGGGCGAAACTCTAATTTTCGCACATACGTGTTCCATATGTGCGTGGCCAACATAATATGACGTCGGATTCGCGAAATTCACTTTCTAAACCCTCGAAAATCGACTGCGAAGTTCCGGGAATAAAATAATATTATTTTTCCAATTTTTGTCGAAATTCCAATTTTTGGCCATAACGACTCCTGGTATGCGTGGCCACCCAAAAATGGCCTTGGCCGCAAAAAATAACCTCAAACGGCCTCCGAATCCAGCCTCGGTGCCCACAGGGGCAAAACTGTAATTTTTCACCCCCGGACCGAAATTCCACTTTTTAACCATACTAACTCAAAACGTGTGTGGCCAGCGTGCTATGACGTCAGATTCCCAAAAATAGTCTCTTAAGCCATCGAAAATCAACATCGAAATCCGGGCCCAATTTCGTGATCAAAACTCACTCAATTTCCAATTTCAAGGTCTCTCACTAACGGGCGGCTGTTTAGAGGTTACGCGTATCGACCTAGGGTTATCCGAGTCATGACGGTCCTGATCATTGAGAGAATGAGAAATTATCACTAGTCCCAGAGGTCACGATCGTCCGGTTTAAGTTCAGGACTGGTTGGCCACATGCACTCTCGGTCATGCAGAATCACCTGCGAATTCGATTGTACATCGTTGGCCTTGGCCAAACCAAATCCGTTACCTTTCCTAAGATCGATCCACATTGGTTCATAATATTCTCTCATCATTTCTCGTGATCGGTGTCCGCTTCGCGATCGGATCCTTGGTCCACGTACCGTTTTCTAATTAGCCATACCCTATTGGTTAGTATCCCGAGAGTGATCAGCTCTGGGCGAGACTTACTAAAATGAAATGCGAAATATTGTCAATTTTATTGATCCCGGAATTATATCGAAATCCGGGCTGTTACATTCCGAGTATCACTGAAGCCATGTTAGATGAAACTTGCGTGCTCCCTGAGTTGAGCTACTTTAGCCTTATGAATGAAACCAGCATTCTTTATAGATTTTCCACTTTCTATGCTACCCGAGTCTCTCCCACAGCAAGTTTGAACCAAATTTGTGGACAGACTTTGCCCATGTCAACACGTATATCTATCTAGAACAGTGATTTTGCCAAACGTTTTGAAGTTTTATAAAAGCTCCATTTGTAGTAAAAGAAAATGATTGATCAAAATATAAAGTGATTTTTGTGAAAATATATATTATTAATCAATCTTTCTTTTGTATTGATAAACCATTTAAAATTATATAATGAGTATCCAATTTTTGTGATTTGATCCCTTGGTGTTGAGGCCTTTTTTCCTTTTTACTGGATTTTATTTCTTTTTTCTTAACGTATCCCATTAGTTCTATTAATGCATTAATAAAAAATTCAAAAAAATTATCTTATAATAGTATCATTGATATTAATTTTTCTGATGATAATATCTTTCTAAATTCAGTTTTTTTCATTTTCTTTATTTTTCCCTTTTTTTTTTTTATAGAAAACAATGGTGAAAGAAAACTTGTCAAATTTTAGAGTAACGCGAGTCTGCACCATAAGCTTGCCGGGAACTAGATATTTTCCACAGGAACGCATAAATTTGGAGGACTTTGACCAAACGTCGTGCATGTTTAGTTGGAAATTTTATGAGATGAAATTGATGGAGAAGTAGGCAGGGCCCGCAGTTGATTCAATCCCATGAATTCAAGCCGTTTACAAGTTGCTTTGTGGAAATTGAACGTTTCAATCACAACCGCAAATATGCTAGAACGTACGTGGATATTTGCATTGTAGTCCCATGTTCAGCATGCTTAATGGATGTGATCCGTGGCGCGGTGGTGATTCAATGCTTAGAATACAACGGGTCTTGTGTAACTTGGAGAGGGATGTCTACAACAATGATCGATGAAAAGTATTCAATGATCGATTGTGTTTGAATTGGGAAGGAATACGTATGCTGACAAAATTATCTGCCTTTGTGTCGTTTCTCGCAATTCCTCAACGGATGAATCGAGAAGAAAGTTCGTTTGATTATGCTCCCAACTACGTGATTCGCGGAATGTGATTTCTTTGGCCTATAAGAAGTTGGTTGCCAAAGAAGGAAGTGAGAGTCCCTTCTGTATCAATAGAAAGGTAGCACAACTGTTGAAATTGGTATTTTCAGGCGACGATCCACGCCTTGAGGATCGGTGAATTTCGTATGGTTCTCACCGTCTAATTTAGCAGAGAAGATATGTTTTGCTTGGGTCGGATCAAAACACTATTCTACTGTGTCGAATGCAATTTTGATGAAGCAAAATTGTCGATGAAAATGCTTTGATGGAGCCACGTAATATTTTCCCGCGACATACAGGTATATGATCCATGTAGAAGTCCTAAGAGATTCAACATAATAATGCCCCTGACTTTAAATTTTTCAATGACTGGTTCTGCATCATTTGATATGGTTACTTGATCACTCCACAATCTAAATCTCTCTTCAAAGTTGCATGCGGCGTCCCATGCAATCGCTTTTGCCGACAATCGTCAAACCGTTCTCTTCTGGATACAT